TATTTAAAAATTTTTCAACAACAAAATGTTAATTTATGAAAAGTAAAAACTCATTCTATCAAAATTAAAACTAAAAAAACAGTCTTTTTCTTTTTTTTTGCTGCAATTAGTAACAACCCCCTCCCAAATTAGCAGGGTAAGGGAGTAAAGATCAGAATGACAGAGTAATACAGACATTTCTCTTCATAGCCTTTATTTCCATACAACACAAGCTTGCAGCCCTTATTATATATCTTATACACAAATGGTAAAACAATTAAAAGAGATTTTTCTTCCTCCAAACTAATTTATTCCAGTTTCTCCTCTTTATTCAGAAGGATCAGTTAGATTCTCTGTTATCCTGAGGCTTTAATTTAGAAAGGTTATCATGAAAGTGAAATCACCACCTGAGGAAAACAGTACAAAGAACCAACTAAATCCTTACTGTCCTTCCTGAAGGAAGAATGCCTGGCCGGCAGTGGTGAAATGGGGCATTTAAAACATCATCTTTTTTCTAATAGGTGAGGACAGGCCCCAAGGGTGGACAGAGAGACCTCCTTAGTTACATGAGCCTTTTGGGGTCTATTTTCTCTAAGTGAACCAGAGGTTTCAGCTGCTCAGCAAAGTTCCTCATGTCGTCAGATACCACGTCCTGCCCGGCTGGTGCAACAACACTTAATTCCACAAGGTAGGAGAGTGACAAGGCCTCAGTGCTATCTGTGTTCCCCGGCACTAGGATGCGGAAAATCTTGTACACCATAATCTTCATGATGCCCTTACGGAACAAGTGTCCTTTGGCGACAAACTCATGGTCCATGCGGAATCCCATCTCCATCAAGAAGTCAGTGAGGTTCTCAGATGTGGCAATGTCCACGCAGTTTCTCACTAGGGCATGGCGGTTCTTGTCTCCCATTTCTGGCTGTCCTAGGTAACGCAGATGCCAGGGTGCCCCTGCCCTATCCATAGAACGCCGAGCCCTTAGAACAAATGGGCTGGCCTGCTGGCCCTTGAGGAGGAACACCATCTCATGGTCAAGGAAAGTCTCAGGTTCCATGTTGTCACACAAACCACGAAGGCGGTGGATGAGGCTTTCCAAACTGTGATCTAAAACACTTCCTGAAGAGGGGAAAACACTATTTAGTCCCATTTTTCATTCTGGGTCATGGCATTAGCAAAAGATTGAAAAACCAACACAGTTCAGTGCAGTGTTCCTTAAAAACTCAGGATTACTACATGAGATTTTAGAGGAGTTACACTGCCAAAGAATTGCAACTGTGAGAAAGTTGTTCTCCCTTTTCATTTTTCTTTCTTTCTTTATTTTGAGACAGAGTCCCACTTTATTGTCCTCAATAGAGTGCCATGGCATCACAGCTTACAGCAACCTCAAAGTCT